AAATTTGATTGTTCGGAGGCAGAACGGCCCACGCTGTCCGGCCCGTGAGTTCGCCACGGGGAAACGCTGCATTCTTATCATTCGAGAAACTGGCGTGGCACAACGTAGCGTATACGGCGACGGCATCCCGTGTGTACGTGCCGGCTAGCTGTCTCCTCTAACAATACAATAACGATGGAAGGCGTCGCTTAAGGGCAAGTCCGCCTAGCGTTGTTGTTCAGGTTGTGTGCGTACCCATCGATGCCGGTAAAATATTACGTTTACACGTTCCCCGCGATATTGCTTCCGGGTCTTCTCAATATGACGTTTCCAATAAACGGCCAGTGAACTTGAACGCTTCGCCGCTTCAAATATTCCAATATTTTATACATTCGACACGAAAGAACCAACTGCGATTTATTTATAATTAATGTTGTGTCCTCTCACAACTTTGCGACGACACTTTTACGACGTCTTTGCGAAGAAACGGGCCGCGCTTGATCCGTGCTAAAATCGACGAGCGATGGAAAAATCATTTTCCTTTCCCTTGGTGCATTTTAATTTCTATCCGCGGGACGCTGCAAGAGTCGTGCCAACGACGCACTTAACTCTCTTAGAAAGGGATCCATCCACGCCTCAGAATTGAGAGAAAGATGGTAGTAGGAGAAACAAGTTGCTATTCCCACGCTGCGCCTGTTCGGGATGCTACAAGCCACTTTCGCTATCCAACCTTATCGAAGCTGGTGCATTGCGAAAGGTGCAGGCGATAGGTTCACGAATGCCGGTATTTTTTGTTCGAGCGGCTCGGACTCGGGCGCTGGGATAGCCCCTCGAAGTACGTGCGAACGCGATAATGGTAAAGTGATCAAGTAATTATCGTAAACACGGATTGCTCTTAAGTTGTTACTTCGACCGGCGGAAAAATGTTTAATGATTTTCTGACAGAAACAAAAAATTAAATTACTACCGCTCACTCCTACCGTGCACTTCGCTCAGCAGATCTCTCGATCGGAGAAAATCATTTAACATTTTTCCTCCACAGGTATCAGCCGAAGTAATATTCTGTTCCAAAACTACGTCAGATCCTACTCCATCTCGTATCGCTGATCGTCTCGGAGAGAATCTCTTTCGACATCCCGCTTCGAGGGTACGGTAAAAAATGCGAATAAAAAAAAACAAGGATTCCGTTCGTTTTGTGCTCAGCCTTCTCGTAAACGTCGTAATGTCACAGTGTTTCGCCACGGTGCACCTGAATATTGCGGCTCTACGCTTCCAGCACCTGTTCCCACCTTGACACCTGACGGGGCCTTCTCGCGCTCGCTTAGTCCGTAGGGGTTCGAAAGCGCATCGCTTGTCCACGCGACGCAGTCGACGCCGGCGACCGCGTGGTACGGCGTGGCGCGCCAACGCAACGGCTGCCGATGCGTTACGCATAACGCAAGGCAAATGTTGCAATCGCGTCTGCGGTTTTAATTCGACTACTCATTTATTTACACGCAGTTACATTACGTCAAATTCTAATGCTCTACTTCCAGCTGCTCTACATGTCGAAATAGTAGATCCGTGGACAAGTCTTTTTTAACTGTTTTACACTGCCACGGATTCTCGATCCTCGTGGTTCTACATTCGGCTAGGAATACACAATTTGTTGCTAAGTTATTTCAATCGTTTTTACTTCATCGCGGTGGAAAGTCCTCGCGCTGCGCCAGGAGATTGACAACCATATGTACGCGGCCGCACTCTTACAAGTATACTCTCTTTCTTGTATCACAACTGGCTATAATTGACCAACGTGAACTTCAACGTGGACATGACTGAAACGAGGTTTTTATAAAAGAAAAATAATGTTGCTTTATTTCATAAGTTAATGTTGAAAAACTGACCGTTACATAGGAAATTATTTCAGCGAATAGTACGTGAGGGACTGTTTCACGGTAAATCTAGGGCTACACGGCTACAATCTCTTATCGAGTCCACCACTGTTAGCTGGGCTTGCATAAATATAAACAATACAAACTATCAATAAAATATTCTCTGTTCCTTTCCTAATAAGTTGGACCTTCGGTTGGACCAGAGATACTTTTACGTGGAACCTAAAATGTAAAATAACAATATTGCGTCTGCGTAACGCGCGCGAATAAAAGTAGAGATGTCAGCGCTATTGATTACAGACAAAACTCGAGAAAGTCGCGTTAAATTTCAGATTAATTAGCGATGACTGGTGTTGATTAATGAGTCAACGACAAACGCTCACCGCTGGCGCAGTCCGGGCTCTTACAAGGTGACTTAGTTGCCGCGTTGGTATAAGTTGCGTAACAATTTACATCACACTTGTAGCGTAAGACAGGATTGCCGCATCCAGAGCAGTCAGGCACACTTGGGAGCTACGATTATATTGTCTTTTAATACATCAAGGATACCACTGGCTCAAGATACGATGTGTTCTACCTGCACTCCCTGGACGCCCGTTTGTTGAACGCAAAGCCACTGATTGTACGCGCATCCACCTGCAGTTCCGATTCCTACTCCGTATGTAATTTGCGGTACTAACGAGACTTGAGGTACTATAGGAATCGATGGTACGGAGCCTGGATAGGAACCCGGATAGGACCCCGGATAGGAGCCTGGATAGAGCCCTGGATACAACCCTGGATACGACCCTGGATAGGGCACCGGGTAGGGACCCCCAGGTACGGGATGGCAGGGGGGACTACCAGGGTGGCAGGGACTACCGGGCGCTGTCGGGAAATGAGCTCAATTTTATTAAACTCCTCTTCGTCTATTGAGTTACAGAGGGGAATGAGTTAGATCCTGTATGAATTAATAAATAGACTTTGAGACTCACGACAGCAGCCTGTGGAGCCTGGTCCGGTACGATTGTCCAAGATTCCACTACCATTACCGAAAGGATTAATGATATTGTTAATGCCGATGTTCGTCGTTATGTTGGTAGTCCTAAGCCCATCATTGGCCGGACTGCAGTTCCCCGATACGCATTCCGTCTCGTATTCCGTGATGATCTGATGCCTGTGCCTGGTCTTCTTTGTGCAGTGCCCACACTTCTTCTCGCAATCATGATCCGCGTGATGGTCGCACTTTTTTAGACACGCTTCCAGACAGTGAGTGGGATCTGCAGAATTTCATTGCTTACCGCTTGCAGCAGTGCAGCACAATTTTCTTGAATAACGCGAGCAAAATGAACGGCACTTAGCCGGTACAGCACGTAAGACAATCAAATATAATTATGCGTACAACGATTAAGGCCGTTTCGCGATATCGCTTGTACTTATCCATCGTACTTGAAAGCCGCGCTAATGACCAGCGTTGCGTTGCGCAACTGCGTCTGTTACGTTATAAAAGATGCAGTAATTTTAATTTAATACGACGGTTTATCTCCCTAAGCGATCGTGCAACAGCTGCGGTTGCATAATACGTTCGGACGGAGGCTTCCGCAAACGGCACGCGAATTCCCATGTTTATATATCCCCGATTGTTATAGCGATTGGTGATCTACCAGTTTCCGGCTGCCCGTCTCCGTGGCTCGTGTGATGACCGTGCCTCTTCGGTCTCATTAAACACTTGACGTACTTTTTGTAGTCCGGATTCCGGCATTCGTCGTACACCTTTTGCTGGTCATCGGTGATCGCCGTCTCGGTGCCACCCCCGGCGGCCTCGGCGGCGTTCCCCTCGGCGCGCGCCAGCAGCGGCAGCGCGCCCAGGCCGACGAGGAGATGCACGATGAGCAAGTGCGACACTTCCATAGCGCCGAGCTCTCTCGGACGGAGTAATCGGCCGGGATGAGCGACGCAACCCTTTATACCTTAAGCCGCGTACCCGGGGCTGCGGGGTTAATGACCATTACCGACAGCGTTTGCGCTGTCAAAGTCTTAGTTGGAAATGTTTGCGCCGTACGCCCTCGTAAAGATACGTCGTCGCGCGTCGGCTAATATATTAACGCGTAAATTGTTATCTGCCTCACGGCAACGGAGCGCCAACGTCAAATTTGCACTGCTTATCGCGGAAACGCCGCGCCGGCCGCCGCGAAGCTGTCGTCCGCTATCCGCCGGGTCGACTCCCCCAAGAGCCCCGGCGTAACGAAGGCAGGGGTCGCAGAGTAACGCGCTAAAACACACTTTCGTAATGATAATATTGGCCGCGCTACCTGCAGACACGATATTCGCGATGCGCTCGTAGATACGCGCGTGGTTCAACAAACTACGGCGATACGGAGAAATTAATAATGCAGACGGGATTTTCTATTTTCCTCGCGCGTATTACCGTTCGAACGCTTCTCTATTTTTAGCTACCCGCGCGCGGAGACGTCGCGGGTTCACTACTTGCACCTTTCTTCCACGTAATATTCCTCGAGCGCTATCTCGTGACTCGTTTGTTCCGCAAACACGTTTATTCAAAACGTGTCATTATCGCACATGTGTACTACCGCGCGAATTTTTCTTTTTAATTACCGCGCGCTCCAAGACAATTACGCTGGCTCGTCTCGTTACCCGCGGTGCGTTCGCTTCATTGCGATCGAACTAAATTGAACGATCAACTGACAAGAATATTCTCCATGTCGCCAGCAGTGATTGCCCTAATAGCACAGTGCATTGAACAAACATTGGTTAAACATTGGCCCAATATTTGGTTGTGTTGGGCCAACGTTTAGCCAATGCACTGTGCTACTAGGGTGACAACTTCAATGTTTTTGAGGAATGTGAGAGGCTGAGGTAATATTTTTCGCAAAAAAATTTGCTGTACACTGAGAAAAATGTCCGATTAAATATAATCGAATAATCCATTTACATAGTAACAAACGGACATATCCAATTAAATTATATGTCCGATGAAAAATATAATCGGTTTTCAAATTTCATCGGTGACTGCAATTTCATCGGAGGTATCCATAATTTAATCGGAAAACGTAATCGGAAAAATTAACCATCGGAAACACTATTTAATTGGTTTATCCGATGGAGATTTTTCTCAGTGTATTATTGAAAGTGCCAGATATGGTCAACAAAGGCACTGAAGTTGTAAACTGAATGATTTGGCACGTCTTGATCGGAGCTTCGAGCCCGGTGTTTCGGAGGTGAACGGTCGATCCGCTGGTAGCGAGTATCGAGCGATGAGATCGAATGGGTCAGCGACACTGGCTCTTATCACAATCCCCTGGGTAATAGAACAGGAAACATCCTATCGTTTCCTTTATTTGCGTTACTCATCGATAAAGTCGCCCGCGAATAAATAGACTCTCGGAATTTTAATTTATCCCTGCATTCTTGGGAAGGAACGTTTATTTGAGCAGCCTGATTGCGTCTGAAAGTTGCGTTATCAGCCTGATTTTTTTCCAATGTACGTCTTCTCGCTCCGGTGTCTCGGTACAGTTATTTACTGTACATGTGTTCGTGGCAGTCATCGCGGGCCGCTTTAATGGGTCATACGATTATAAAATCTTTCACGCTCGCGTCGCACGTACGTGATTTATCGCGATTTATAAGGTCCCTTCCGGTCATGGGAGTCTCCGTTCAAGGGAGAGTACCGCTACCAGAACTACGTACACAAAACTGTCGACGAGAGGCTTGTCAAAGGGTGGCGGCAAAGTAGGGATCAGCCCTCCTCGGTCTCTGCCACTCGTACCTACGATGCTCCGACTTTTCATTGTCAAATAATATTAACGTTGGACAACGCCTCGAGAGCACAGTCATCGCTCGCAACTTGGAAGTTTACGACTTGCCGAGGTGCAACATGGTGTCGGCGAACATATGCACGTACCGGACATTCCATTCTCGAGCGAACCAGCGGCAGGTTGGCGAGACTCGATGCGGACTTTCTAAACGCCCTGTATACGAACGACTTCCCTGCCGATGGTAGGGGGACCGAGCAGGCCTCTCTCTCTCGAACGTACTGGCCCCGTCCGTGTGCTCGAGGCTTACAATGGCCGCCGTTGTAAGCCGACGTGCTGCGTGCCTCAAGTATTAATCGTCCTCAATTTTCCCGACTTAATTTGCCGGCTGAGAAACGCCCACGAAAAAAAAAAGATGCGCGACGCCCCGCCGCGGTATCACTCGACGCGAGTCCGCGCGACCGCGAGCTCCGATGGACGACGCCCGCGTCCTGACGTACCGTCCTCCTCCTCCTCCTCCTCATCATCATCATCGTCACCACCATCATCAGCATCGCGTGTGTCGTTGACGCTTCTCGACGAAAACAGAGTGGTCGGCGGAACGCGAGCGATCGCGTCCGGGCGCATCACGTTGTTGCGAGACACTTGTTGAGCTCCCGCGAGAACATCGAAGACGGCCGAAGCGAACGTTTCTACATTGTGCCACCTTGATGCCAAGTGTCGTGAAGTATCGTTCGTTAGACTAGTGTGCGCGATGTTGTTACGCACATGCTGCCCCGCTTGAGAAAGGTAATTGATACTTCCGCAGAGTACCCTTGGAAGGGTCTCCTGGTGATCTTTAGAAATCGACTGTATAGACGAGTATTCCGTCCGCTCTCTTTTTCGAGGTGGTACTTTCGAAAACAATCGGCTCCTCGTATGTATTAAAGTGTTGAAGTCTAATGAGATTCAAAGTATGCGTCAGTCATCGATCATTCAAAGATATGACTGTGCACAAGTCTGCGTAAAAATCCATTCGAAACTGCTCCTACGTGAGCAATTCGTTCAATCCAATCGGATTAATGTGCTCCAAATTGACGATAATAATCGCTATGAATCGTTACGACGATAATAATATCTGAGGGCTCGTTCACAATGAGAGGAATGACGAACCAGGGATTAAATGTGAGAAATTAGAAGTAAAGAAAATGTGAGAAATTTAAATTTCGATCTATGCAAAGCCACACATGCGTTCGCAATAAGGGAAGAAGGTATTCCCAATTCCTGGCTTTCCACGGGTCCAAATTTAGGTATAGAGAATTCAAATTATTCGATATAAACAAATAGCATTGACAAGCAGAAATTTGGGCGTTCGATGGCGAAAATAAAATTTAATTTCAATATTTTAACCGTATATAAAATTTATATGCACGCGTTTCGGCAACACAGTGCCTTCTTCACCATATAAAATTACGGTAAAAAAGCCGATACCCAAATTTCTGCTTAAGCGCTTAAGAGTTTCTTTGATTTGTGTATAGAGAATTCAATTTCGATCTATGCAAACGCACACATGCGTTCATAATAAAGGAAGAAGGTATTCCCAATTCTTGGTTTTCCACAGGTCGAAATTTAATTCCCTGACCCTAATTCCTTACGTTTAGTTTCTTGTTCCCTAATCCTCTTATTGCGAATGAGCCCTTATTTCTCGCCGAAGCTTTGGAAGAGCGAAAAGCGTATTCGATAGCACGAATTTCTGCGAAAAAAAGTGAAATCATCGAATTATACGCGCATTATACGCTCTGAGACGCTATACTTTTTCCTGGTACGGTTAAATAGGAGATTGTTCCGATAGATAGGCTAGACTTACGTCGCTGTAGAAGAATGTGCAATTAGCTATTCGCGGCTAGACTCCGTCTACGAGCCTAAAATTATCGCGCTCGTTCCGAAGCTCGATTTCGCACTTGTCGCGAGAGCACGACGATCGCCTTTTAAAAAACGAGTTCGGAACGGCGCGTGTATCGGAGTGATTTTCACTTTTCGAAAATAACACGCCTCCGAAGTCGTTTCGAATTATTCGACCGTGGAAAGGACGCTTTCGTTTTTTTCTGCGGGGAAATCTTATCGCTCGAATACGGAGAACACGCAGGAAAAGCGTTGCAAATCGAGAAAGTCGCTCTTTGCGCAATAAAAACTCGCCGATCCGTAATTATAACATTCGCGATCCGAACACGTATTGAGCGGTATTTGAGATGACTGGCAGCAATTTTACTGTTGACCAGTCGATGACTGTTAAATTCGTAAGAAGACTTTTCACAAAATTGAATGAATCGTTGAACGGACGTATGTACTTTTTACTTAATCAGTTCGGACGGTTACAAGGAAGCTAGCACAAGACACTCCTATGAACATTTTAAGAGTATTCTTCAAGAATATGTGGAATATTCCATAGGTCATTCTTATATATTTATCTTATAACATCAAGAATTATTTGACGCCAGCAAATGACTAACAATGATCAAGCTTCTAATCGACCATAACTGGCGATGTGTTTTTAACACAGAAAATTTATTGCGAAAAATATTACCTCAGCCAGGGTTTGAACCTGGACCTCCCTACACTCTAGGTGGGCGTCTCACCATTATATGCCTCGGTGGTTGAATTGGTCGAAGAAAAGAAAAATTTTCTGTGTTAAAAACACATCGTCAGTCATAGTCGATTAGAAGCTTGATCATTGTTATTTATCTTATGTTCGTGGAACATTCGACTGGCGCTACTATAAATCTTTTTCAAATGTGAATAGAATAATCAATCGAATATAGCGTTATATATGGTATGACCACAGGTTTCACTGCCTTCTGCATAGGTTAAATGTATTACACAATAGACAATGTGCAATACATAAACTCGATGAATATTCAAAAACTATTCTGAATGAATATTCCAAAGACATTCTCCGCGATTATTCTAGAAACGTTCTTCTTTGTATATATATATATATATATATATATATATATATATATATATAGAATATTTAATTCGAATATTCTGAAAATAAGAACATTTGCACTCTGGGAAAAAAGAGACAGCAACCCATTTTGGGGCCCACAATTAGTAATCGAATTGTTTGGATTGTTCGTAACTCTATTTTAAGAAAAATTTTGATCGTTTTTTTGTAGTTCAGCAACTTAACATTTCGGTTAGTGCCTCTTAAGTGAAAATTATTTTTGCGTTACTGAATATCGACAGAGCTAATAATTAGAATTGATTAGTGTTACTTAAAAATCTTGGATATAGATAGAATTGCTAATTGCAATTTTTAGTTACGCGGGATAAAATTCGTAAAAGATTAGAGTTACGAACAATCCAAATAATTCGATTACTAATTGTGGGCCCCAAAATGGGTCGTTAACTATCTTTTTTTTCCCAGAGTAGTCCAGAAGAATAGAACTACGTGTGCTATCTGGTAAATACATCGCAGAGGCAACAAAAATCCCAATTTATTTAGATAAGTAAAATAGAGATTTTATACGCGCTAAATATAACATTGATATTATTCATTTCATAGGCAGCGACCTAGGAAATATATGCCGGTGCTATGGCAGTCGCGCGTTCGGCTGTTCGAAAATCGGCTATGCTGATGCATTTATGATTCGGCCGCGGGCCCCGAGGGAGAAACGATGGCAACGGAGGTAGAGGAGACTCCAGTTAGGTCTCCTTGGTACGGCAAGGTCTTCGAATGCTGGAGGAATCGGAATCGAGTCAGTCCTGGCAGGATCGAGCTGCCCGAATGCGATTTTTTTATCGTGGCACCGCGACGCACGTTGCGCGTTCTCAGGCCGACCCTGAGAAGCGGCTGGTACTACGAGAGTACGGCAGTCGACCGGCCGGAGTCGGTCAACGACAATTTCTTCAATCGGTGGACCAGGAGGCCGCATTCGTCCGGAAACTGCAGATGCTCCTTCCGCCAGTCCGCCGGCGCGCTGAGCACCAACGAAGAGCGAATAATATCCGCGGAATTGAATCGCATTCGAACGAGCCTTTGCGAGGCCGAGAAAACCGCGCGCGGCATCGAGGAACTGGAGCAAAGGCTCTCCGCGGATCTGCAGAAGTTACGAGACAACTCGGAACTCGATCGCGCCAACGATTCGACGGTACCTTCGACACTAACGACTGATCGCCAGCCGTTCGAACAGAACGCGAAGCAACAAATTGTCAAGGACTTGGAGAGGTAAGTTCGCCAATTTAACCAATAGTGGAATAAAACGCCAGGGAATCTATTTAATTATATCTTAAACGCGATATCTTGACATGAATAATAATAATCTTCGTATCAAGAATGAAATGATAATGTTGCATAAATATGTCTTAAGTGCAATATCATTTTTCTTTGTTTCTTTTCTATATTATGTGATAAATTAAAAAGGTGACTCGTGTGAAAATGAAAATTAAATTTTATCAGGTACATCAATACGCTTCTGGAAGAGGTGCTTGACGATACTGTTAAGCATATAACCGGTGTAGAAAGGAATAGCGTTCAGCATTCTTGGCAGCGAACAAAAAATAATTTGATGAAATCGCAGCCCGATAAATCCAAAGAGAAAGTTTCGATAAAGGACAACGACGGTTCCTTTCGAGCCGATATCAATCCTCGTCTCCTAGCGGATAAGACGCAATGGGCTCCGGAAAACGAGTGCAAAAAGCAACTCGCCGGAGTTACGGTGGGCGAGGGTTACGTGAATCCCGCTTTCGTCGGTTCGACGGACGAACTGGCCTCTCTGACTTTCGATTGTTCTACACGAAAACACAGTAAGTGATACGTTTAGGAGATTACACATATATCATTTCATTAACAAATACCCTTTTCGAATTCTTTCTTGTACACGATAAAATTGATTGCTCTTGTACTTGTTTTAATGAACAGCAGGCTTGTACCTTGGAATACCGACGGAAAATATGTCTTCCGAAAAACTGGATTGCGTGGATTCCGGGATAAATAGCGTAGAGACTATCGAGTTTCAGCTGCCTGATCAAGAACCCAGCTTTGAGCAGTCTTTATTACAAATTATCGATGAGAAGTTGGGAAGAGGCCCTGCGGCGAATAATGTGGAGGATAGTCCCGAGAAAAATTTGGAAAAAACAATTCCAATAGAGAGAGAACGTCGGACTGACTCCCAAGATATTGTGCTAACTTCGTCGAAACTTGGGACATCGTCGACTGATCCCGACTGGAAAGTGGAGCGACTGGAGGATACGGAAAATACGGAGACTGATTTCGAGAAACTACGCCTGGAATTCCGAAGCAGCAGCAGACACATGGACGACGAAACGCCGTCAAAAGTCGGCGTGAAATTAACGGAAAGTCCTTCCATCGAGCTCGAGGAGATTTACAAGAAATGGTTCGATGAAATCTCCTCGCAGGAAAACACTGAACGGAGCCCCCGCGATTCGGTGACGCTTCGAAGGAACAGGAAACCAACCATAGTTTTCTTACACGGCTTTGGTTCCTCGGCAGAAATCTTTGAGCATCAGCTGCAATACTTCTCTTCCCTCGGTTACCCCTGCATCGCTCCCGACATGCTCGGGCACGGCATGAGCTCAGCGCCCGGACGTTCTAGAGATTATCAATTCGGCAAGTTACTCAAGGATCTGGACGCTGTCCTACAGCATTACGCTTTTAAACCTGGAGAGAAGTGCGTCTTAGTCGCTCATAATTACGGGTAAGATGTTTGTTTAATTTCCCTACCTATGGAGCCCTTTCTTTTATTACTTGATTGTACATAATGTATGGTAAAATTTCAAAATATTCTCATAAAGTTCTTCAAAATGCCATGTTGTCCCACAATTACGTGATTTTCAGAGTAAGTTTAAAAGAGAAAACTCTCTCCGTTTTTAATTTTGAATAATTTGTGTCTCGAATGATTACTTTCACTAAAATTGATATACGCGAATATAAATTGCAGGTGCAGCTTTGCCACAGCGTTAGCTTGTAAATATGATAGCAATATCCATCAGCTCGTGCTGATATCGGGCGGCGGCCCGACTCCTCTCTCTCCGCCGAGCACGGAATGCGCGGGTCATTGTTGTCTCAGGGCGATTCTCGCGCCCCTGCTAATGTGCGGTCTTCATCGAGATATTCTCTATTCTGCGCGGGGCCGACAGCATCCTTATTGCGGTCAAGAATCGATAGAGCAGTGGCCCTCGCACATGAAATACGTATTGAACGGCATGAACTGGCCGGAGGGTGACTATGCCTTCCACAGGAAGATATGCACGCCAACGCTTCTGGTGCATGGACTAAGAGACAACAATGTGTCGCTGGTACAAGAGTGTCAAATGGAAAGGGTGAGTTTATGTTAGAAACTAAAATTATATATGTACAACTAGACAACTTTTTCAGAAACCAAGATCTAATTTAACCCGAACTTTTTAGACAATGGTGAAGGCTTTCCTCGAAGCTATTCCAATGGCTGGTCACAGTCCAATGACTGAATGCCCCCAACAACTGAATCATATGATACATTGCTTTATAGATTTGTGGAAGAACAAAAAATGGCAACAGTGACCTCCTGACTCCAGAAATAATGTCTAAAACGCTGTATTATATCGAAATTTTGTATTTCGATTCATGCAATTAACAAACTGCTTATCAATTAGCTTAATTATCAGTCAGCTATAATATTTAACGTTTAAGTATCAGTCAGATATAATATTTAACTAAAAAGATAAGATACTTTGTATAGATAATTCAAGAAGACTCAATTCGATCGGACGGAAGATAAATCGATGAAGTTTGTGTGGCCTCGTGAAATGTGCCAAATTTTATACAGATATATACGGAAAAAATGTACAGGTAAAATAAATATAAAAATGTCCCATTTGTCTAGATCACTTGAAAGAACTTTTATACATTTCAAAATTTTGTCGTTTTAATACTCGATACATACTGTATCGAAATATCTGATTCCGTTTTAAATCTAAGGTTTTACATGCTTGAGAGAATTCTTATCAATATAAGTATTCTCTCATCAATATAAGTAGACTAAAGCTAAAGCTGAAAGCATAAAATATACGAAATATTATGCCTTTCCACTTTAAATAGATGATTTGTATTCAAAATTTTATTTTGCTCCTTCGTACCAGACAAAAAAAAGTTGCTCAAAGTGATCTAGCAAATACTGAACAGAGGCTATGGAACAGCATATAGATCTTACCAAAGATGCTTTAAATCGTTATTTTTCATATACAGTACTTTTTAATATAAGTTATACATTTTACAAATAAAATTGTATACAGACGATTACATCGCAATGTACATTGCAATGATCATGCATTTATTTTAAAAAAATTAAATAATTAATCAGTCAATGATGCGCAAGCACGTGTCGCGCTCGTTTGATATCGATGACCATCAATGATTTAGTAACGTTTGATTAAGCGGATTCTCACTTGACTTCATCCATTCTTTTCTAAGTATCTGCTTCAACTGACTCAATCTCAAAGTAGGATTTTGTTCTTTAATTATCGGCATCATTCGCTCCTCGAAACTCGTGTACGCGGCTTTCATCCGTTTCTCCGGGTGTCGATCTATCTCGGGGTCCTTTGAGCTGAAAAGAAAAGAAAAGAATATGATACAACAAATCGAGATAACAAAAGGAATTAAGTAATATAGTTGTCGCCTGTAATTCTACGTAGATTTTACGTAAATTGCACTCTAATGTAGCGAGTGTAATTACCTCAAAACAGATATAGCCTCGTCCACACTGTGAGCCGTTTCACCCTCTAAAATCAATCTGTTCAAATTTTCCTCGATCGGCTTTTCCTCCTCTTTCTTCTTCATAGCCACTTGATTTCGTTTCTCAGTGATAGTAACGATTTCGGCTCTAGTAACTTTCGACGCCGGCTGCTTGCCACCGACTTTTATATTCGCCATTTCCTTCTCGAGCAGAGCCTTCGCCTCCGCCTTTTTCTCTAATTGCTGCTGGCGCTTCTTCTCGACTTCTTCCTGTGTGTAACAAAGTGTGCATTACCGCTCTCCGAATACCGATTGTCTGTTTTTTTTATATTCAATGTTTTGTCGATATTAATTTTAGATGCGTACTTGTTTCTGCTTCTTCTTCAACACTTGCTTATCATTATCCTCCCACGCCTTGTCTTCCGCTTCCTTCGCCTTCTTGACAGTCTCGGCCTCTTTGGCCGCTGCTTTTCTAGCCCGGGCAGCAACCGCCTTGCTATTCTCACCCACAAACTTCTTCGGCATGTTGATCTGTGATATGTAAATCAGGACTGTACGGTAAATTTCAAGATTGCATCCACACGGATTGTCTGCGCATTGTTTACATTGTGTTTTACACAAACCTTTCTCACATATAACCGATGTACATTATTATAATATATTAAATGATCAATTGACTGATTTCTCTAAGTTGTATTCCTCAAAATAATTTTACAGAGAGAAAATGCAGTTTTAGACTAAACTGCTAACTTTGTGAGCCTTCAAATGACAGAAAATAGTATTGTCTACTTATGTTTACGGTTTGCAACGTACGCAATGTTAGTTTTTTTTCACAGGTATAACATCAAGACCTTCAAAAGCACTGTAAAGTTTTTGTAGCGTCCTTAAAAATTGTGCTCCGAATAGTACTTGAAATCTAAATTGCAATCGAGTCATAAATTTCCGATATTTCTGACAAAATATGAAAGTTCGACGATCCACACACTTACCGTTTACACATATAAACTTTTATATAATTGAGGAAAGTCCCCTATTGTGAGATAGGATCCTAATATGAGATAGCGGAGTTTCTGCTGAATTAATAGTCATCATCTGTTGGTTCCGCCACGAATTTATTGCCCTTGGAGTGAAATCTGTTTAGTGGGAAACTTATTGTTAGATCGTGCAATCGTTGCGAAAAAAAGATTTGTGATTGAATTTGGACGTTGAAAACCTATTGTATCTCATATTCGACTCCTATCTCACAATAGAGGACTTTCCCCTACGTTCAACACAATTTACATTGTACACATTGTACATGGAGATTATTTCATTACATTTGACGCGTGAACGCACGAACCTGATGTAAATCTCGATGGTTATTCGCGAACTTTCGTCCGATTTGTTTTCTCCCGTATTTCTCCGAGATGAGAAAATAATGGGCACGTGTGTTTCACGATGTCACTATATTTGCGTTGGCAACAGACCGACATAGCGAGAGAGCTGTCGAGAGCCAGGTTAAGAGGCTTCAAAATAATCGACATTCCGAGGCCAGTGATAGTGCGAGAGAAATCACGCGCGACGCGTTCTCGATCTCCGCGAGCGGACGATAAACGGTCTCGCGCGGAGGCACATGGTTACGCGGTTTAAAGGCGGCCGCGGGTATTTAATCGTCGCGCGTGAGATGTCGAAGCAGCGCCCGACGAGGAGCGCGAAGGCGCCGAGGGCGGCGAGCACCGACGTGAGTGACCGGTCTCGACGCTGCCACTTACCGATTCCTCGACCGCGCGATGCTCGATCACCTGTCGCGAAAGTAACGTGACATTTTCTGTTATGTACACCTTGCCCTTGCCATCTCCGGCCACTCTGTATATTGATACTGAAAGTAACTAGCCGCACGGCTGCCAACCACGCGACCGTTTCTCCGTCCTCGTCGCGAGGTTATCGCGCGGAACAATTGCACGTGGATGCAATTGCGACAGCTGTCACTTGGCACGTGGTCGAGGTGTTGTGCGCGGCAGGAAGTGGCGCGTCGTAAGATCTCACCTCTTTCCCAATCTTTGATTGCTGCGTCCTGTACGCGGGACGATGCCTCAGATCGCAGAGAGAACTGTTAAAAAATTCTTTCCCGAGTTTCTGAATTCAAAAATACTCTGCTCTTACGTCACCAATTTCCAAACCTTTTCAGACACGAAAGAAACTTTTTTTACACCCTATAAGAATTCGCACCGGAAAGGAATTCGTTTGGAGAGAAATGATTTTCTACAGATATTACGCTAATTTAGAAAGGATTTTTTAAAAAACGACTCCTTTTTGAACTTATAACAACCACTTGTGCTATTTGGAGCAGAAATGATTACGGCCCATATAGCACGTAATATTATAGTAGTTACAGTAATATTACAATGAAATATATCGGAAGTATTACTGTAATATATTACTGTAATATTACACAAGTAATATTGCACAAGGAATTAGATTAGGGTAAATGATGGCCCTACGGAAAAGATGGTCACAGGCTGTATAATCTCTTCAATAATTGTTTAAAGCAACGTGACATCAATTGACGTCTTCATGGCATCTTCATGACGTAATAAAACGTAATGAAACGTAATTAAAAAGTCATTTGACATCAGCTTGCGCTACTTTGGAATTGATATATTGCAGCAATATTACTGTTATATTACTGTGTAATATTTCTATGTAATATATCAGTATTATTAATGTAATAAATGTATTATATCAGTAATATTACTGTAATATTACACTGCAATATGTAATATCACTGCAATATTATAATATTACTGATATATTACGTAATATTGTGTGCTATATGGGAGATTATACATATTAATCCAAATAAATGATTTTCAACCTAATATTTCGATAGCAGACTACCGAGAATCTTACAAATAAAAGTTGATATAAAAATTTTTTTACACGAAAATACCGTGGAAACTTTTCAACGGGAAGCGTGCATATTTGATTTATCAGCTTGCTGAAAGTTTACGTGATGCTAACAGATACTTATGGTTCTTGCACACAAGAACGCAACAATTCTAAGAAACAACGCGGTAATTTATGCGGTGATCACTCAACCTCTCGCTTTTCCGGGAACAATAATAGATACCCAACGGGACGTTGATTGCTTGCCCGCGCTTTTACACGCCAAGTGTGTCGAGAAATTGCCTCCATTAGCGCATTGTTTGCAGGATCCATCTACGGGACCTGTGGTCTTAGATAAAGACGGAAATGTTGCGATTAAAATTCAGGCCAAACCCGGAGCGAAATGTAACAACGTAACCGGTAATAAATATCGTTCGATACAGTTCCTTTTTATTATAAACCAAGAAAGCGCATGTTCCGGTATTATCGTGTATTCCTTGCAAAAGAAAGAACATAATTTTGTTAACAAAATCGCATAATTATTATTAAAGAAGCAAACATCCACAGATATTTCCGACGAAGCGGTAGGCATTGCAATCTCCGCCCCGCCAACGGAAGGTGAAGCTAATGCCGAACTCGTCAAGTATTTAGCTTCGGTTTTTGGAGTAAGAAAATCCGACGTATCCTTGAACCGGGTTAGTATTCCAGTTAACTCGAGACTCCATCAACTTTGTCAGCTAACATGTGTTTAAACTTTCCTTTCTTTCCAGGGATCTCGAAGTCGGCAGAAGGTGGTTGTAGTGTCGGGAACTACAGCGGATCAAGTTTTGGCGAAGTTGAAAGGGGAGATGGATAATTAAATGTTGCTCAAAAATAAATTTTTCCATCACGAAAAATGTTTTCCAATCTAACATATAGTTCCTTATAAATATGTATTTTTAGTTGGTCCTATCCTTACTTTTGCCGCACAGAGCTTGGCGCAAAAGGGGTTATGCAATTATTTTATATTATACAATATTATACAATTTATACATCTGTTTCTTTATGAAATGAACACGCGATTAACTGAGTTAGCGTATTGTCAGTACTTGTAAGATTTAATGTACATTAAATTCTTTTAGCAGCTACATGTAATTGCACCAGATATCTTCAAAGATCGCCATCGATTCTTCAAAATTTTATGTAAGCGTTGCTGTGACTAGCAATACAAGAATCGATGAAGATTTTTGACGGAATGATCATAAGGGCGCAGCCGCGATCATCGAAAATTGGTACCTTGTTACGAAGACACTAATTTTGTAATAATCCAATAATAGATACGTTGAGCTTTCACTCTTGTATTTCGAAGGCCTTGTCGTCGAGCCAAGGTCGGAAGATTGGTAGCGTCGATGGATAATGGGCGCCCCGTTTGGACGGCGCTGTACCAGCTGGCGCGCTCTCCGGCCTCAAGGGGTACGTGGCCAGCACGATCGGTATTTGTAACTTGATTTCTTTGTCCAAGCTCTTCGGGCTTATGACGAACTGCGGGGAAACGTTAATCGTGCGAGATCAATTTCAAGAATTCGTCCGCGACGATTGCTTCTAATCGCAATTGCGTCACGCTTGGAAGTAGAATACATAATCTTTCTCCTGGCACTCACGTAAACGTGGTAAAGAACGTTGATCAAGTGGCACCCTCTCAGATTCGTCGGCGGCAAGGGTGGGACGTACATTTGTTCGTTGAGCCACTCCTCGCCCTCGCCCGGTCGAATCTTCCCCCTGGAAACGCTGGCCAGCTCGCGAGTCTCGCTGGCGAGCACTTTACCCCGACACAGGTACTGTATCGTCTCGGTGAGCGACGCCTTGGTCGACTTCATCGTCACCTGTTAATTCGAATTCTCAAATTGCGCGTACTTTACACGCCGCGATCGTGCCTCTCGAGCGTCGAAAGCACATCTGTTGCTCTCTAAAACTTTTCGAGTGAAAATATTCACTCTGAAGTGACATATTCTTTCTGTTGGAGTGAATATTCACTGGATGAGAAAAGCGTTTCTTCATTTTCATTAGGTATCGGGGGGGGGGGAGGGCAACAAGGAGTATTCATATTTGTTCCGTGTTGTAGGACTGACAAACATGGCGCGCAGTTCTATTTCGAATTTAGTCACGGTATGTGATTTTCGTGAAACAACGTTGGACTGTTTATCGCGATAAATGTTACCACTTGCCTCGGCGGTCGAATTGGTGAGACACCCGCCTAGTGAGAGGGAGGTCCTGGTTCAACCCAGTGAGAAATGATGTCGAATCGACGCCAATTCGATGGTGTCGATGTCGATTCGACGTCGTTTCGACGTCGATCGACGAATCATTTCTCACTAGGAAACCCTGGCTGAGGTGTTAATTTTCGCAAGAGATTTAAAATTAACAACATTGAGTGAGGCTTACTTAAAATGAAAATTATTTAGACACTAACATTCCCCGTCTTGACTCTTAGTCCTTCATTACCTCGTATTTGTGTTTTCACATTAGAGCCTTATGAATTTTATTAAATGAGTAAATAGTCACTTCGATTTCATAGCAGTATTTTCACTCGAAAGACTTTAGAGAGTACGTGCGTTAATCAACAATGTATACCTTACTGCGATTGCTGACAGTCGCAGAAATACCGATCGTTTCCCCGGGTACGTATCCACCCCGATCCAGGCTCACTCGGCAGAATACAGGACCGCCCGAGACGCAGGAGACACCCACGCGCTGTTCAATCTCCTGTCTCGCCGGTTGCTGCTCAATCACGAAGGCGTTTTATTTGCACCCGAACAAATTGCTTCCGAGTTGAATTTTCGAAATTAATTGAACGACACCACGGAGAGCGGGGCGCGCGAAAATTAACGATCGCTAATATTCGCCGGGCGATACGTTTACCTGCGCGCGAATAATGCTCGCCGATTGAATGCTGTCCGCCAACGCGAAAATTTTCTCATGCGTTTTTCTAGAGATGCAAATGCACCGCCGCCCGGAGTACATGGGCGGCGATTCCATCACGATCTCGGCGAGTATCGTAGTGTCGCAACTGGCGCGGGACACAATACAAATGTCGCGCAAGCGGAATGCTTCTATATGCGTTTCTATCGAGTCTCAAACACGTCCGTATGAAAAATGCGCCGGACATACCAATCTCTTTAAATTCTTATCTCGCGTCAAGATACTCGCAACGCTTTCCACACGGGTCGGTGACCAGTATTTGGGTCCCGGTTATGGTAATGAACGCCGGGTATTCATTTAATTACACGCGCGAAACACTTTCCTCGGTCCGAATCGGTTATGTGAAGATGTTTATTCAGGAAGCTACTTATTCGCAATAGTTATTTTTTTTCCGCGAGATATTATCCGACTTGAGTCGACCAATTTGTAAAGGCACGCCGATAAATCAGATCTACGGGTATATTTTGCAAAACTGTCGATTATCGTAATTGAAACGCTCACCGCTAATATCGGAGGTTCCAGATTCAAGTCGATCGGATTCATGACGATGAAGACCTGCTGGTTTTTGTGAGTGAGTCCACCCGGCTCGCGAAGAGCCGCCTTACAGTAGTATTGCACCCATCCGTGTTTTCCGAGAAAAGTGGAGGGCAGACCCAACGGCAACCCCAATTTGAAGGGAAAGCTATGTATTCCGGGAGATAGCAATGACGGTCCTTCGCCTATCAAACATCGCGTTTCTCATGAAAAGGATCGCACGATGTTAATAGTTTGCTTATTTTTTAATTTTAATCTCAATTAAGTTAAAGTGACGTCAAGGTGTCATATTTTCAACGATATTAATGCAAATTATTGTGCAGAGAACAGATTTGTTGAGCTGTTATTGTGTAGTATGTATACGCAATTTATTTAAGCGCGCCACTTAAAGACAGAGGCGCGATTTAACACGTAAAATTGCACATAATCGTGGAATTGCGTGCACGCAGTACAATCCGAATGTAATTGATTCACCTGGCTCACCCAGCAGCCGCATGCGAAAATCGATGTAATTCTCTTTGTCGTAAACTCTCTCGGCACGCTGACTGCGTACCCGGACTACACCTTCTCCCACAACATGGAAATGCAGTCCCGAGACGCTACGGTAACGTACCCCACATTATTAATCTTGTCTTACTTACTGTGATCTAGCGCGCATACATATAAGTCTAGCGCGTTGCGGTAAGAAAATGTTTTCCCTCCAACTTGTTGACGCAAAATGATCTTTTCGACCGTGAACTCGATATTCCCTTTGACTTTCTACGGGGCATTACTTACTAAGCTTCGTCGTCCAGCTCTATGAGAACACGGCCGGACAAGAAGTGGCCCGGAAAGTACAGTAGATTCGTGTTATCGAAAAGTATCAAGAACTTGCTGAGTTTCCTCGTCATCTCGCCGCCGAAGTAGGGAATACTCCGCGTTACGCGTCTCGCGGACGGAGAGAAGGACGGTTCGTGCGGGCACGTTTACGTCACCGCGGCTTCACGCTCACTGAATACACGTCGAGGTGCGCGCAGGAGCAGCCTTCTTCTTCCACGCGTTACCTCGCGACGCCGAGGTGAGAATCACTGGCTTGCATCGCATCAGCAACACGTTCGTAACACGGCACGCACGCGTCTCTCTTTCTCTCTCTCCGTCCCTCGCGATCTCCCTCTTTCTGCGGGGCGTGCTGGCGGACTGGTTACTGGTACCAGCTACGATACCACGAGACACCTCGTCGTCGCGATTTCCTCAACGGCGGCGCATTCCGCCACCGCGCCTCGCTGTCCGCGCTTTTCGCGACCGACGGACGATCGAGGGGAGATCCGATCGAAACGGCGATCCGCCGAGACCCCGGAGACTCTATCGTCGCCCACCGCGAGGTTTTCTGTCACCGTTTCGCAGCAGTCACCGCGCCTTCTTGCCCATTCTTGGAGACGCGCTCACTTTCGCTCCCTACCTTCCTCCTCGGTTGCTTCTCTACCACCTCCCATCCAGTCCGGTCCGGACTGGCCTCACCTGGCTTCACCTGCCCGATACCTGGCCAATGGCGGTGTTCTAATCAACATTGCTGCTTTTGGCATTGAATTGTGTTTAAATCGCGATACGCGTTACATTAGTCTCGCTGTATGCGTTTAGCCAGAATTGCGATGATCAATAAAAATTACGAAAATAACAGGTTTTCCTATGCGGAACTTTTTAGCACTTTAAATTTTAAAAAGCCCATTTATTTCGATAACGAGGAAACAATTCATCGAAATCTACAATTTTAACATTATACAAATGTGGAAGTTTTTTAGTTAATGTCTAAAGTTGATTTTAAACAATCTAGAATTTGTGTTGGAATTCGGAATAGAATTCTATTTATATTTGTATGTATAATACAAAGAGCATTTAAAGAATGCGCAAAATGTATTAGGTTATAACAATATATATTGATCCAAACTTGTTAAAGCAAATTTTGCCGAATTACAAATAAGGCATACTTGGTACAAACTCTATTATACCGGTTGGTGTCGACAAATTGTCAGCACTATAACAAGTATAATAAAATTTGCTGACATACCGCAACAGCAAATTGTCGTCAAACACCAAGCAAGTTTTGCCAGTATCGTGGTATATGACGACGATTTTATTGTGCATTGTGCAAATCTTGCTTGGCATTTTTGGCGTCAATTTACTGTTATGTTCGCAAATTTTGCTAGCAAGACACGAGCTGATCGTGACACAGATGCTGTGGTATTTGACATCACGTTCTAAGCGAATTTGAGCGAATTTGCTGACAATTTGCTGATTGCTGACATTTCATGCTTACATAAGCATAAAATTATTTAAAAATTTCACTCTAAAATCTAAATTATAGTTCGTTTAAGATGGACTTAATAAATATTCAATTAAGGTAAAATCAGTTGTTAAAAAAAAGATAGAACTTAAATGTGAAATAATCTCGATGGTTTCTATTCCTCGTACGTGTATCTTCTTCTTCGTGCTAATTTATAAGTCAAATATCGAGATAATTGGAGACCTTCGTTTTTGCAGCTCCGATTTTACTGGATTATTTATTAGTGCGTGTATTATATATATAATTATATTTTGTTCTTATAACAATAAATTTAAAGTATACTTAAGAAATACACAATATAAATGGAAATTCTTGGAATTTTAGACAGTACGACCTCTTTGCCGTTCAAGTTCTCCTGATTCTTTGTCAGTTTTCGGGATTATCGATTTTCGCGATTTGAAGTTTGAAATTCTTGAAACTCCAATTCTTGGAAATTTTGATAGTGCCACCTCTTTGCCGATCATGTTCTCCTGATACTTTTCAGTTTTTGAGATTCTCGATTTTCGCTATATGAAGTTTGAAATTCTCGGAATTCCAATTCTTGGAAATGTTGAAAAATCTTGGAATTTTAGATAGTGCCACCTCTTTGTCGATCAAGTTTCCCTCCCCGAGACATTATGCTCCGTCCAGGTATTCCTACGTCCACAGTTTGACAATTCTGACAACCTTCAGGTTTCATTTGTCCCTGAAGTCGAAACGAACTTGAAGTTGTCTACGTTGGGCAAGCTACGCGTTGCACGTAGCGCCGCGTACTCCGCGCAGCGAAGTTAGCTGCAAGTTATCGATTCCCTTTAGAAGTGTCAACAATAGAACGGTGCGTTGATACCTCATTGTTATCAATTTATTATTGATAAAAAAATAGTTAGATTTACCTAATGGTGAATTGTAATTTAACAACTCATTTATATCGCGCGTTCTAATTATTTATAGTTTAGAAACTGACGATGGAGAATAAAGTAATTAGTCAGAAGGAATATTTGAGAAGATACACGTCCTTCGGCGATGGTGACGGAAAAAAGAAGAAAAAGAAGAAGAAGCACAACGCGGCAGCGAAAACGTAAGAGTCCATTTCCAAGTATCTCAATTTGCACCAACGATGAACATTTTGCATCGAAGTTAGGTTAGGTTAGGTTACGTTGTCAGCTGTGCACGAAAGTGTTTTGGAATGCGATACACATGAGCGGATTAAACATAATGTTAACACGTTCATATCATCGCAAATTACCTTTTACACTTTTTTACATGAAATTATTGAATACTTTTTAAGCAAAACTACCCAGGCAGCAAAATGTCAGCAGATTGGCAGCAAATGTATCGGAAACTCATACCAAAAACCATTAGCCATCTGTGTCCGCATTTGGCTTTTGTCTTGGCAACAGAGTCTGTAAAACATACGCTGTCAACAGATTGTCGGCAGAAACCGAGCAGGTCCTGTTACGTGAGCAGATTATATCAGTTCCTGTGTGCAATCTGTAGTCCTTCTGCCTTCAGTAGTTGGCATTTGATGAAATCTGTCCTGACAGAGTTTGGCTACCTGGGTATCTACGATACTTTCTGCTTTTAAAAATGACATTGTTGAAAACTTTGGATTACTCGTCTTTCCATGATATATTTTTTCTTCAGATTAATTTACGTACATAGCGACTAATATTTGCGCACTTACTTCAACATCTAACTTTGAAACTAAGATCTCTTAATTTTATCGTGTAACTGGAGCAGTCTTGGTCTCAAATATTTTTTGGATTACTTTTCTATCTGACTGAAACGGGCGGACGTATTTTTCCAGAGTAAAAATTATAGACGATGATATAGACTTGAAGAATATGAGACCCGTCGAAGAGGGTGAATTCGATATCCTTTTAGACGGGGAGGACGCCCCTCAAATTGCTGGTATAGTTGACGAACGTGGACCGGTCGATTTCACAGATAAGAAAAGGTGGAAAATTATAACCGAGAATGACGAAGGCGACTTAACTATTATTAATCGTGCTGTCGGTCAAGAGAAAAGAGATTGTGACGAGACAAGTGTCAAGTGGACCAATGACGATCCGAGTCCACCTAGGGCCAGGCATTCCAAAACTAAACATATGGACTCGAGTCCTCGTGGACGATCTAAAGATGACAGTTCGGGTCTGAGTCCACCTAGACCTAAGCAGTCTAAAAATAAACGTGCGGATGTGAGTCCGGACGAACGGTCGAAAGACGATAGTTCCGATCTGAGTCCACCTAGACCTAAGCGTTCTAAAGACAAGCACGTCGATTCAAACTCGGGCAGACGACCTAGGAACGACGATTCAGATTTGAGTCCACCTAGACAATCGAAGAACTACGATTCGGATTTGAGTCCACCTCGACAGTCCAGAAACAATGATTCTCACTTGAGTCCGCCCAGGAAGCCGAAAAATTATGACTCGGATTTAAGTCCGCCTAGAAGTGCGAAACATCGGACTTCGGCACGCGGTACATCTGGACGAAGCTACCGAGGTTCAGGTAACAGAGACAGCGATTCGGATCTTAGTCCACCTAGAAAAGGTCGCAAGCAGAGTCTAGATACCGATTTGTATGAAAGCAGAAAAAGTATGAAGGGCAGAGATTCGGATGTAAGCGCATCTCGGCGTAACGAGCACCGGTCTCGGAGAGACAATTCGCCACGTTCCATTTCGCGTAGAGACGACAGGAGGCACGATCACCATGATAAAAAAAGTTCATCCAGGCCAGACAGGTAAAGATGTGTCGAGGTAATTTTGACTTTGGATATCCGACGAAGATTATTAACAAAATTCATAAGGCTCTGTCGTAAAATCACAATTCGAAGGAATAAAGGGTATAAGAGCCAAGTCACTAACATCCCGTCTTGGCTCTTATATCCTTTATTCCTTCGAAGATTATTAAATCGTGTATTGTCGCCACGTGAATTAGCGAAGTGATGAATATAATTTCTTTGAGCAGATCAAGCCGGGATAAGCGGGAGAAGAAGTATGAAGATAGAGATCGTAACTCCCGATCGTACTCGGATACGCGGGCAAGAAGGAAAAAGACGCGGTGGGACGAGGAGACGGACGATGCCGAACGCGGGCACACGGGGACTCATTCCAGAAATCACGACGGTCTACCGACAAAGACGCTGGACGGGAAAGTAGCAGGGTTCCAAGCTGCGAGAGCATTGCGAGAAGAAACCGAGGCCTATAAACGGCAAGAGGCAGAGCACTTTAACAAGGTAATGTTCTTTCTGAAGTTATATTTACAGAAGCAGTTCTTTATCTGTGGAGGATATAGGTAGTAAAAATTTGCGTCGAATTGTTTCAGCTGAGTAAAGAGATCACCGGAGAAGGACAAGCCACGATTGTGCGTGACAAAACGGGGAGAAAGCGCAATCTAGAAGCGGAGGCGGTGGAAAAACGGGAACAGGAAACGAAGCAACGGGAGATCGACGAGAAGTACGCCAAATGGGGCAAAGGGTGAGCGACTTTCCTCTTATCTTCCTTTCTGATTTTGTTTTTGCCGAGGGGTAAACCGCTGATCAAAACCATGCACACCAATGCCTACTAATGCCCATTGGGCATTACTTTATCCTGTTTTATCTTTTTAGATTCTTTATAATGCCCCAGCAAGGCCAAATAACATCCACTAATGCCCCAAAAATGTCTAGTAATGCCCGAAATCTGTACACCACAATGTCCTCAGCGGTTTACCCCGCGGTTTTCGCTTTTTCTGGACAACTGTTGGTTTTTCTCGCTAATATATGATAATACAAGTCCGTGTTTTATCCTAGCCTGAAACAAGTGGAGGACCACGAGGATAAATTAAAGAGCGACTTGTACGAGATGCACAAGCCTTTGGCGAGATACGCGGACGACGCGGATCTAGATAAAGAATTGAGAGAACAGGAGAGGGAGGGCGATCCTATGCTGAAGTACATAAAGCAGAAGCAGATAAAGGAGGGGAAAAGAAAGCCAGGTATGTAGATCGATTTTGTACTTCTCTCCCTCTCGCACGTCTTTAAAAGGACAGTCAATTAATCATTTCAATTGCAGATTCCCCGCAATATCAAGGCTCGTACGCGCCAAATCGATTCGGCATTAAGCCCGGTCATCGATGGGACGGGGTCGATAGAAGTAACGGGTACGAGAAGAAGTGGTTCGAGGCACAAAATGCGAAAGTAGCGCTGCAAGAAGATGCCTATAAGTGGAGTACAGCCGACATGTGATCATGTTCACACATGTTACTATATAACAGAAGTTTCCGATTCTATTTCCATCGATCGTTAGTAAAGAAGAGTTAATAAAGAAGATTTTAAATATTTCGATAATATAAGCGTCCTCTTTTTTTTTTTAATTAATTTCTGGCACGATCGCTTCGAGCGCGAAAGAATCGATAATCCCTAATCCCGATGTTCGCGCTTTCGGCAAGCGGCAGCCAAATCGCCGCGGAGCGTCTGACTGACAACGAGACGTATCAGCGGGTTACACGCGCGCGGGAAAGCGCTAAATCGATATTCGTTCCAGAAAACGAGAGGAACGGAGAGGCTGGCGCCGGTCTGGCAACGGTCTGCCGGCGATGGTCTAGGCGAGCCGGAATGCCGCCGTCTGCGCGAAATCGATCGTGCGCTTTTAAGGTCGCGAGAATCGCGCTCCGGATGGAGTACGGGTAGTACGGGTAGCGTTGGGAGTGGCGGAGCGCGCACACATTTGACATAGTCATTCGCGGGCGCGCGCGCGATTGGGAGACGGGGCGCGCGCGATTACCGGATCGAAAGCCGCTTTACGGCCGAGCTCGCCGTGCGATATCGCTATATATGTATATATCGAGTCCTGGCGGCGTATCCTCGCGGAAGGACAGCCAAGTCATACATTGGTAACACTGAGGCTTGCGCTTTAGGCTTTCGTCGCCTGAAGCGTGACGCCTCGCGCCGCGTCGCGCCGGCTGAAACGTGGCCGGTCTCTTCAGCGCGCGTGCCGTCGACGACGCCGTCGCCGCCGCCGCCGCGACTCTTCCACGGGGGTTTCTGCGTGGCGCGCGGGCGAATATACGACATATACATACGCCGGGGTACAATCCGGCTTGAGTTGCCGCGCGCGAGCAAGGGCAGGGTCGTGAGCGAGCGAGCGAGCGACGCCAGTGTCGTTCGCGACGTCGCCGGGGATTTCTCGTCTCCGCTCGCGCACTGCTCGCGGTGATGCTCGCCCCGAGGTGAGCCTCCGCGACGAGGACTTTCTTCCTCCCTTTCTGCCGAGGGTGGACAGCCGCGACGGGACGACGCCGGGCGTCGCGTAACAGTGAGACGCGCGAGGAGGCCTCGGGGGTCGCTTTCGAGTGTGAAGGATTGTCCCGCAGGTGCCGGCGCCACGCGACGTGTCAGTAACCCCCGAATAACAGTGGGAGTCAAGGGGTGGGCGCGGGAGGAGCGTACACGTACGCGCGCATATGTAGATAAAGGAAGACCGAGAGGGAGGGGGAGGAGAGTAACTTGGAATGAAAGTCGTCGAATTTTCACGGTCGATTGAAGGCGCGGGGTATACTTTCAAGAGCTGAAAGAAATTTTAGCCGCGACTAGAGAGAGCTATTTTTCATTGTCGCGAGGACAAAAGGATACCCAAAGCGCGCAGAGTGCGACACGACGTGTTACATTCGCGACGGATTATCGGACAGTGAAGGGTAGAAAGCGAGTGGAAAAGAGAGAAGAGAGTGAGTAGAAAAAAGGGGGGGGGAATAGAAAAGTGAAAGGGGCAAGAAGGAAACTCGTACTTTTTAGCGTGCCGAGGAAACGGAATTATATTTGCTACGAGACTTTACCGCTTGGAAAAGCGATAACGATTTTTATTCGGTAAGACGATGTTAACAAGGGGACTGCAATAACACCGGTGCCTCCCGACGACGTCCGATTTCGTTTGATACAAGAGAACTGAAGAGAGGAACGGATTGGGGAGAGACATGGGGTGCAACACCAGCAAGGAGAGCGTCCAGCCGGCGGTGGATGAGGCGAAGGAAGGCGATTCCGTCAAGAACGGGGGTGAGCGATCGTCCCTTTCGATTTGTTAATCGCGCGAGCAATATCTGCCACATCGTTGTGCAAATTCACCACGAACCGCGCGATAAACGCGATCTAATTTTCTGCATATTTCCGCTCCGCCTAAGCCCGCACGACATTAAATTTTCGCATCGACGACGATTGTGTCGCGCGATGCTTTTTCTCTCCCCCCCGATTTTTTTTGCGCCTCCGCAACGTTTCTAATCTCTATAAATTGCAACCACCCCAGAAACTCCGGCGTTGTTTATCTTGACAATGACAGAGTCAGCTTTGTTTCAAAATGATAAATGTACCTCTCTGTTCACTTCGTTAGATCCTTCGGGCTGATTGCGTGCACGCTTCAGTAATATCAACGCAATCAGTAGGGTCGGCAGAACGGACGACTATTTTCCGAGTAACGAGTGCGTTCGATGCGCGCGATGATGAGAGTACAGGTTCTTTTTTTTAAATTTTACTCTACTTGATCAACTTCTCGACGGAGGTTCGAGTCGCTAATTGAACGACCCGTCGGCCCGAATTAAACGAAAATTCTCAAAAGGCCGTTTTCTCGAATTAATATCAACAAATCGGCGTTTCAGATCGGCTGAATATATGGAATTTGTGTATTACGCGAAGCGTGTTGGTTTTTGTGACCTGGGCAGTTTTTACTATTTGAGAATAAGCGTGAGAAACCTCGTCTGTTTCGCGACCTAAAACGGAGTCGGACACGTGGAACGTGAACTTAAAGCGCTCTCTTTAATAAGAAAACGATTGATATTAATAAAACGGGTATCTTCGCGTTTTATGTTTTCCGTTCTATTAAATCTCCAGAAATTTAGTGTCAAAATTTCATCGTGTCCTACGATAATATATGAGCCTCGATAACATGCCAGAGAATAAATGAATTTTGGCGAGCGTGAAAATAGGACGCTCGTGAAATCTCTATCTCTCCCCAATGGGGGTGTATCGAAATACCGAATAAAAGTGATCGCGTGATGTATGTCAAGGTTTAAACCTTGTTTCCAGAACTACGAAAGTTTCCTTTTATAATCGAGATACGATTATGAGGCGGGATGGTTAAAAAAGGTCCGGTTAAAAAAAGCGGAGTGATGGATTTAACAGAAAGACATTGATAAGAGGCTCCGTCGTTTGTACAAATCCATCATTTGTCGTCGTTTTTACCGTTGCGAATGAAATAATTAAAATATGGCATTTATGAAATAATAACAACCGAGCTTGCGCGAGTATTACAGGCGGAAAAAGCCCCCCGCCGTTTGTACAAATTGTACAAATACGTCGGGAGCGTGTCGTTTTTTTTATCACGAATAAAAGAATCACCAAACAGTATTTATGGAACAGCGATAAATAATAACCGAGTTTTCGCAAGTCTCACAGGCGGAACAACCTGCGATAATAATAAATGAAGAACTCGGAGAATCGATGAGCATTGATTTCTCACGTTTGAGACGTTCACGCGGAAAGACTCTCTTGCTCGAGATTTGTTTGGCAAAATAATAACGTCTCTCCGCGCGTGAGTGTATTGGCGTCGCGTAATTGCGCGGGCGCATTGATTGGCGTTTAAAGGGCTCGACTTATCAGAGGCTGATACGCCCGGGCGAGGTTTAATTGTAGAGTTTCGGCAATTCCTGCCTTACTGGCCGGTAGTAAAGGTCCGTGGCGACCAGTAACTCTGCCCGAGCAGGATCAATTACTCCGGAGCTTCGATGAATTTCCGCGCGTGAGATGCATCGGAGTTGCACGGAGTTTCATCAATACCGACGCAACTGCACGGGGGATTCCAGACTGTGCGGGCTCGGCATAAGAATGCCGATCGAACAGGAATGCTACTGTGGAATGATGAATGGAATCGATATATAAAAGTCTTGCGAGACTGTTCGCGTGGCGTGTAAATCGATCGGCGAAAATAGAGTATCGAGCCCCCCTTCAGGCGCAAACGGAGCGGAAAAATCTCATACAGACGGCCACGTCTACATGTCCTTTTGTCAAAACGTTGACAAATTTTGCCACCCAGCCCGGCAGAAAAAAATGCTACGCTCTCGTCGATGCTGAATATTTGAAGGGCCGTAAACTTGGGTGGCCTTGGCCACTCTTTCGGCATTTGTTACTGTGCAAATTTACCCTAAAACGTTTAACACCCGTTCCATTTTGATATACCACACTTAAAGTTTTACGGTAAAATATGCACGGTATAAACAAATACAGAAAAAATTGGCCAGAGCCACCCGAGTTTACGGTGTTCGAAAAACGCGAATCGTCGGAGATGTAACAGAAAATTCCAACAGGTTATGAATACGTAACGCGTATCCTCCCGCGACAAAACTAATCTTGTGGTTAATCTAATTATAACAATCCATACGTAAAAAAATAATACGTCTGACCTAGTTCCGCCGTGTACAATTGCAGATCGTTATCATTCCCAGGCTCAAAGTGGCGATCGCTTTCTCGTTGAAAAGAACGTTACACGCGCGGCGAAAGAAAGTGGCGGAGGAAGACAAAGAAAGGGCAGCGCGATTGATAAAAGTAAAGTCGCGATTGCATTCCTCTTGTTACCGAAAGCTGAATATAAATGAAACGTTGCACTTCGGTCGCGCGGTACTTTCGGTACTCGCGATTCGCGCACGTGGGTACGGTCAAGTAATTAGCAAATAAGCGGCTTACGCATAATGCAATATAATTTATCGTTCATTGACGCAATTTTAATAGAGCCCGTAAACTGTTTATATCGGCTTTCTCCCTTAATCCTCTTTGCCACCATCGTTGGCTTCTTGGCGATTTGGATGCCGTGACGGTAGTCTCGCTGCTGATTAAACCGCGGGGAAAGAATGCTCCTCTATTTATTGAAAAGAGAGAGAGAGGGAATAATTTTTTTTAATGGTTCTGCAGTGCGCATGATGCAATTGCTCAAACGTTCATGATTTACTAGACCGAGAGGAAGGGCGGAAGGCATTAGTAAGGGAAAAGCCAAAGAGAACTTAACCGCGGTGGCAAATGCATAATTAACAAGTGCATAATTAAAATTGGAAATATGCTCAAGAGCGAAAAACGTTACGGCCCGTTCTGGACCGTGCCCCGATACCTTGAGACGAAAGAAAGAAAAAAAAGATCAATATCATTTTTAGGCCGGGAGAGTCCAAAGTGGGGCGAAACTGATATTTTCGACTGCACGCTCCTTACACATTCGCGAGTTAATCGGAGCCCGAAGACACTCGGCGTGCAAATCGATGTGCTCGGTCAGGTTATTAGCGGAGCGAGCGAGCGAAAAACCGCAAATATAAAAAAAAAGCTGGAGGCGCGGAGGGTTGAACGACACCCGCGACGGCCCTGTTTCGCGGCGTGCACGCGGCCGCGGGGCGAGAATCCGTGGACTGCGACTGCGAACGAGCGGCGCGGCAGGGCCGTGATCGGCCGCTATTATAAATGGGGTCGTCGGGTGCCCGGGAACAGTCAGTCGCACATCAGACCGAGCCGCGCGTGGATGTGCAGGTGAGAAAGGCCGAGAGCGAGCGAGAGCGAGCGGCGACGCAGGTGAGTCGCGGCGCGAGTGCGACCCGACCAGCCGCCTCTTCGCGCGATGCGATGCAGGGGGATCCTCGCGTGCATGCCACCACGTCGCTCGAAGGGAAAACCGGGTTAAAAAGAGGCGGGTGGCGCGGGCGGCGATGACCGGGGCGGGGGCCAAAAGTGATATCGTCCCGAGGCACGCGAATCGCGTTCGCCACGCCGTTAACATCGCTTGTTAAAACGCGAGTTAAAGCCCAAGACGAGGTAAAGCCCATCCGCGACGCCAATTGTCAGGTGCAACCGGGAGTCTCTTCCGCGTATACATTGTGCCTGCACGCTCGAGGACGTCTCGTATCGAACGCCCCGTGACCGGGCCGGGTCAAGTAAAATAGGAATCCTTATGATAAGCGACGAAAATAGTCGCACCCTCGAAACCCAAAACCCAAAACCTATTTGAGATCAGCTGATTCGGCTGACCGACTGTTATTTCGCGTGATGGGATGGCCGTAGACCGATTAGCAGATACGCCGAGTAAATTCCCTCCGTGAAAAGACAGCAGTCTCCACGAAGAGTAAATCTCAGGATTTGTCCCTCTTTGCCAAACACACTCGAACCTCTCGTTATCGCGCTTTTCCTTGGAGCACAATAACTGATTAAACGTCTTACATAATTTGTGAACCAATCTTCTTCCTTCAATCAAGCATTTTACAATTGATTGATATTTTATTAATTAATATCAATCAGCAGGTTGACGTTAAAGCATTTTGCTTTTTCGTATCGGACATTTGATCGCTAAACATTGATTTAAAAGTCGTTAAAAGGTTTTCATTCAGAAATTACTTTTTCAACGTTTCCTCGACAGAAGTTTGCCACGGTTGTTTAAAGATAAAACAGTTTACGACGTTGTCGAATTTATCTTTGTAGTTTTAATCGACGATATAAAATTAAATTTATCTATTTAGAGTTAAAAGGGGTTTCATAATCAAGATAACGATGTTTCTCTAGGAAGTTGGATTTCCTCGAGGGTTCTGGTAACAAGGTCTGGGTGGATCGATGGCGGAACATCCTCGCGTGATATCAGAAAAGAAATAAGAACAAGTCCAAGCATTTAAGAAACATTATTGTCGTAAACTCGCACCGAGACGGGGCGCGAGGGGGGGGGGAATGATTCTCGAAGATGAAATCGCGATAGAAATAGCAGTTAGCCTCTCGGGAGGGAGGGATGAGCATTTTAGTTTTTAACTCGAGTTGAATGCGCGCCTTTTATATGCACGTGCATAAAACATTTTATCCTTTCTCCTCCTTACTTTCTTGGAGAAAGCCTTACGACTTGTATAAACAGTAACGTCGATAAAATTACCGCGAACTTGTACGATCGATCCGTCAGCTTTGCACAATGTGACAAAACAGCCGAGAGGCGCATAACTATAGGGAAGAATTCATTGCTCGTCTCGAGAAAGTGTCGCTGTATTTCTTGAATTTCCACTTGCTCCGTCAAGTGGTAACCTAGGGAAACGGTGTCGTGCAAAGGCGCTCAATAGCCGGAGCGTTCCCTTTTCTAAAGGAAAATTCAGTTTCCAATGCTGTCACACTTAATCCTCCTTACATTAATCCCCCTTGCCTTACGTTTTGACCGTTCCATTCATTTCCGCTCGAAGGAACTCGATAAGTTAATAATACGTAATTGGAAAAAAAGTCGACTTAAATCGGATCGGTCGCGGCACATTATCCTATTTCTAAAAGATTCAAGATATACCCGTAATTGAGTTGAGCTGAAAACATCGAATGGAAGCGGAAAGACTTTGGTGTGAAGTGCGGGGATTAACTCTTATTACAATTGTTCCATCGTCGGAAGGGACGTGAGGAAATGATGATGGAGAGAGCGGGTAATTTTTTATGATTTTCAGAGAGGATATTTGCACCGCGCGTGAATTGATCGCTCGAGGATACGACAGAATCTCATGTCGATACGTCGATTAATCATGGAGACGCGAAGATTTAACTTCATTAGCAAAGGGAGGGACGGAAGAGCCGATTAATAATATTTGTCGCATCGTTTCGCATCAGGGCGTGAAATATTAAAAATGTATATTAGGCGCCGTATAATCTCGAACGTGCAGCGCGAAAATAGAAACGCTAATCGATACTTGTCGCTCTGGACGTGTCTGTGGAAGGTGAAATGTTCGGAATAAATGTAGGTGAACTGTGGCTAACACGGCGGCCATTTCTAATATACGGGATGTATCAGAAGCCGCGCCCTTTCTCCGATCTCCTGCGGATTTTCGGGCATTTTGTAGCTGCTTCTTCCTCAAGGAACGTTTATTACAGGGGGGGCAATTACATGTTGCACCGAGTAATTTATGTATTCGCTTGTATCTCATTATTTGTACCCGACTCTTTATATTATCATTATATTCATAATCATCGTTTAAGATAACTTGTAGAGTCGGGCGCAGCATCTCTAATTTACGTTTTGCATAAAGTTGAGCCGACGGCGGAAAATTATTCTTTATTACCTACTTCTGTTGAAAGATATCTCAAAGGCGGCTGAAAACAGCGCAACGAAAGCGGAGTTCTCGAACGAGGGGAAAGAAAACGCCGAGGACGATAAAGACAAAGAGACTGCAGCGACGAAAATACAGGCAGCCTTCCGTGGACATCACGCTAGGAAAAGTCTGAGAGTGTCGGAAACAGCGACGAGAACCGACGAAGAATCCTCCAAATCGACACAGGAGCAGTTGCAAGAGGAGTTCCCTACCGACGACCAGGGTGAGCGATACTATGCCCCGATGCGAGCACGGGGCTTGAGGAGAGGTCGTTTTTTTCAACAGTTTCTAATTCCATAGAGCTCAGTAACGCGGCGAAGAAGATACAAGCGACTTTCCGGGGCCACATGTCGAGAAAGGAACAAGCTACCGCTGCCGCCAAGTCGGCGATGAACATGGTTGACAGTGCGACTGCCAAGATAGAAGAAAAGGTAAGTTAATTGTCAATCTTGTTAGATATACATACGTAGGCTCGCTATCTATTGATCAAAGAGGGGTAGAAGCTGGCTAGCATCTGGCTTACGTAGAAATTTTCAACACGAGTTCTCGCAATTACCCCTTCGCGGAACTTCACCTGACCTAATGTTATGTCCGATCGTCGTCAAAAGGCTTTCTTCAATGAGTAGTCATTTTTTGTCATTGACACGCAATAAACTTTTACTTTTTGATTGAGTCATCTCATGCAAAGTTCGATTGATTCAAATTCGAGTTGTATATTATATATTACGTGTAATAATTGATATTTACACACACACACACATATATATATATAAAGATATATATGAAATAAAGTTCGGGAAATAATATATAATTAGGTTGTTAATTTCGTACAGTTTCGATCAATTAATCTCACTTAATAAGGATTAATTTTCCAAGAAAGTTTTATTGAAAACGATCGATTTGTTGATGTCAAGAATGATTAAAGACCGATAGGGTGAGCTAATTATGGTAAAGCATAAGATGTCTTTATTAAGGTAGTAACCCTACTCGATTAGAGCTCCCTAGTTGTTATAAAAAAAGATATTTTATTAATAGGCAGTTTTATTGATAAATGATGAATTAATTTCTCATCTGCCGATAAACGTACTTAAGAAACGACGCGAATTAATGCCCCAGCAATTCATCACGTTTCTCGTAAATTATACTTCTGGAAAGTAACCCGCCATGGTCACGTAGTATTCATTGCGCGTTATATAAAAAGAAGAATAAATAGCTAAGAGAGTTGTTGTAATCAAAGTAATTTTTTTTCTCAATCTCTAATACGCCAATATTGATTCGATCGATGAAGCGGTAATGACGGGTTTCGATGCACAAGGTCGCCGTGATCGATCATTTCTGTGACGAGGTCCGTGAGATAAAGAGAGAGAGAGAGAGAGA